TTTCAAAACCTATTACTTTAGTATTATTTTCACTAGTTGTTTGCTGTCATGAGTTTAATTCTGGGGCTGGCTGAAAGCCAAAGCCCTTCCCCTAAGTCTCCTCTATCAACCTCCCTAGTTTGAGCACCGCCCTGGGTTCTTGAAGCCCTTGGAAACTCTGACACACTAGGGTCCAAGGTTCTTTTCCACTTTTCCTAATTGCCCAACTGGGCACCCTTTTCCACCTACCGGACAAGCCAATGGGCTTGTGTAAATGGTTTGTCTTTCTGGGACTGTTGATCAACTTTGGCTATTGGGTTTATGCTATTCTGTGTGTACACGACGATCGTTTTTGGGGTTTAATTGGCTATGACTTTTGGGCTATGTTTGAAGCTTGCTGGATATGATGTTGAAGGCCCAGCAAGGCAAGGTATTTAGTTGTGTATTTGGGCCTGCTATAGGCCTGTCTATTGCCATGTAATATTACTATTCTACTTGTTGACCTGGGTCTATCAGAATACTTTGTATAAAGAATTGGGGTGTTAGTGAAAGAGGAATGGGTAGAATTCTATATCAACATGCCATGGGTAGATGACATGCCTATAGGACTTGACAATATGTTTGCGATATGTGTTGTTCGATTACGTGAGCCCTATAGAAATCATGATATTAGGAGAAGCACACACACCCTACTTGTTTACTATTCAGACGCTATGTCTACTGTTGTGTGGTTATAGACATCATGAAGTGAACACTTTGCATGACTACTCAATTATTCACTAAAAAGCATGCCTAATATCTGTTTTTGTCAACATAGAAACCATGCCTATAGGAAATCACATACTTCAGTCAACTTGCCTAATACCTGCATATTATTCAAAAGCATGATCGTTGGACTAAATATTTTACCTTCTCTTATGTATACTTCTGCCCGATTATTAGATATCATGCCTATAGGGAATGAATGCCAATAACACCCCTTTCAATCTGCACTACACTTAATAGATATCATGCCTATAGGATTTTAATTACTTAAATTCGCTGTTGCGTCACACTGTCCCTTTAGAAAGCATGCCTATAGGAACTAAATATGTATAAGATAAGCTCAAACTGTCAACCTTTAGAAAGCCTAGCCCATAGGAGTTAAATATATGAGGATCAGTCCCAATCGCCAGTCTCTAGAAATCATGCCTATAGGAAATCACTACTTGATCTTCAAACACTGTTATCCACGCGATTGTTAGGAAGTATAAGTAATTTTGAGCATTTCCAATAAGTTTAATTATTCGTACTGCATAAATCACCTAGAGATCATGCCTATAGGTTAAACAACTTATAACATGTAGTCTCTATAATTTGTGTGTAATGCCAAATACTCCTAAACTCTATAGTCACATAGAAATCATGTCTATAGGTCTTAATGACTTTAACTCGTCTAAATGAAACTGTCAAATGCCTAACTTGTTCGCGTGCATTTGTTGTCTAGGTGTGTAGGCTAACTGTAGCCCTTGACTGCATTTATATGAAGTCCAACTTGTTTTGTATGTCGCCTAGTTTTCTCATTTTGGGCAACCTAAGTTAACTCAAGAACCACCTAAAATAGAGGTCCAAACGCCTCCTAGACCGTAGGCATGGGACGGGTAGTGCACACATGAGGCTTGGTTTAGAACCAACTAGTGCGCTTTAGGTAACAACTTAAAGATAGTAATCGGGTAGCAGGAGATGATAATCTATGCTCGCTGAATAATACGAGTAACACCCCATCTGGAGGGAGTTACAAAGTATTATTTATGTTGCACGGGGTGATCCTTTAGGCTAAAAAAACTTAGGACCCCCCTCCCCCTATTTTCTTTCTTTCCCTATTAGAATCAAAAATAGTTGTACCCTTTGTTCAAAATATGTTTATAATAAACTTCTTAAATTTTATGCTCTCTCTTCGTTTATTTGATCACGTAGACTAATTCATATAATTCGAGTTCGGACGGAAACCACAGTTGTGGACCTCGAAGAGTGCTTAAAACCTTCTCTTCGAGTTAATTTAGAGCCCTTACCTGATCTTTGGTGACACAAACTAGTCAAACAGAGTTATCTGCAAATAGGTGCCCTAACGCACCTTAAACCCGTTAGGTGTCGATTCTCTGTTTTAATACCCTTCCTTCAAAAGAGTTGTCACGTGTCAAAACCCAATTTCTCGAGAAAAAGGGGCGCGACAGCATGGCGACTCTACTGGGGATATTTTTAGGCTCTTACCATAAGCAAACTTGGTCTATGTGAAATAGCCTTCTCTGATAAGCATATCTTTATTATTTTTGCTGTTACATAAATATCCTTTTTTCTGCTTTCCCTTTAAACATTTTTTAGAATTTCTACATCATGTGTCTCCCCACCCTCACTCCCTTGTCTGCTTTATTATAATTTCCACATTACACGAACTAACTTATTCCTTGTTTTCTTTCTTTTATATGTCTTTACGTTTCATTCAACTCCATTTACTGTTTTTATCACGCAAAATATTTGACAACGTGTTATTTTAACTTTGCAAAAAACATGCTCCACATCATACTCTATTCGTGCGTAATTAATACCATAGCAGCACTTGATGAGTGTCCGTGCTCTTCCTAAATCACCCTTTAAATTTGGAAAGGCTTATTTGCAGTAAAACTAGTCGATCAGTGGTGCAGTCGACGATTTCGTGCCTTTCCCTCTCAAGTTGTCTGCTTGAGGGTACTGGTCTAGACTCTTCTAGAAACCCTACTCTAATATTAACTGTGCATGCATCATGTCCAAACCTAGTATGGGTAAGAATGTTGTCCGCGTAATAGCTCGCTAAGACAAGCCTTGTCCAAAGTCCATCGGGATTTCCATAATCCCAATGGGCACAATCACAATCTGTGTATTATTTGGAAAAAACATGCCAATATGTTGATCATTAACGTGTAAATAACCAAATCTTTAGGGGGCAAGGGCTAACTCTGTTTGTTTTGCAGAAATGATGCACAAAGTCCCGAGGTTCGGCATGGTTCGAAATATCCCACCTTTGCTGCTAGATTGGTGGGAAAATCTCGCACCAAGTGACAAAAACCATGTGAAAAGAGTCCTCAAAAATTACCCACTATGTTAGACATTCAGCCGAACAATGCACTAATTGAGGCCGCCACCATGTTCTGGGATGAGAAGAGAGCCGTTTTCCATTTTTGTGACATAGAAATGACTCCCCTTTTAGAAGAAATAGGAGGTTTTGCCAGGCACCCATGGGATAGCCCTGGTTTGTTGGTACTGGAAAACCGCACTCCTCGAGGTTATTTGAAAATGATGGGTTTCAGGAAAAATGATGATTTAGTCTGTCTGAAGAAGTCTTACATACCATTCGACTTCCTTTATGAGCATTATGGGCATAGCAAGTCATACCGCATTTACCATGATGAGTTTTCCATCACTTCTTTGGGTTGGACTCACCATCGAGTTTTCGTATTCATTGTCTATTTTTTGGGGATGCTGGTATTTACGATACAAGGAGAAAGCATCCACACTCTCCTAGCTATGGTCACTAAGGCTTTAATGGAGGGAATCGAGGGGCAAACTTACAATATTGTCCCTATGATTCTAGCTGATACGTACCGAGCTTTAGACCGTTGCAAGAAGGGGTATAGGCACTTCGAGGGTTGTAATCTGTTGCTGCAAGTATGGTTGTTGGAACACCTTCAGAGAGGGGAATACCATCAAGAACTTCTGCGACAACCACGGAATGACCACATAGCCTATCACCATCCGAAGAGAACGACTTTTATCCCAAACAGGTTTGCACAACTGGAAAACGCTGTGAGCTGGGCACATTTCTTTAGCAATCTGACCGATAACAAGGTACATTGAATGTTCGAATGGTTCCCTAGGAGTAAATTCATCATCAGGTCGAGAGATACTCCTCATCTAGTGCTAATCGGATTAAGGGGGATCTATCCTTATGCTCCTATTAGGGTTATGAGGCAAGCTGGGAGAAAGCAGGTTATACCACGAGTTTCCAAAATGGTTCAGTACAAGGAAGACTTCTAGGGGAATGCAATTCCACTCATGTTTGAGGCACAACACATGTGGCATCAAAAGATCATTGTGGAGAAAGATACCATCGAGCCAGATCGGTATCATGCCGGCCATGTGCACTTCTATCCATCATGGTTGGTAGATGATATAGCGGGGGATGTCAAGCCAGGGATTAATCTAAAGAATAGGGTTGTAGACGATGCTGGTGAAGCACAAGTCAAATAGAGGATGTTGCGCAAAAGGGTTTTCGAGTGTGAAGCCAGGCATTTGGAACAACATAAAGTGGACATGGAAGCAATCAACGAGTGAAGAGAAATCGCTACTAAGTCAACAGAGAGGTTAGAATATTTAGAGTAGGGGTTGATGGGGCTTGAAGGGAAGATGAGAAAGAGGGTTGCAGGCTGTCAAAACATGGATGGAAATGAAGGAGGGCTCTTAGCAAGGGCATATCTACTGTTGGACATGCGCGACCTGGGGAACCTGATCGATGGAGCAAAGAAGGCCAAGCATGGAGAAGGTTCCTCTGGGACCAAATAGATTAGGAATTTTGTTTTGCTTGCTTTCTAGATTCGTTTAGACTTTGGTTGTAATAAGGCAAATTCCATTAGTGACTCTTTATAATTATTGTCGTTTTAGTAGATATTTGGTTTATTTATCATATTAATGAAATGACGCAGTTATTGGCATCAATTTTCTCCAAATCTATATGTCGCTTAAGCCTACCTCGGGCACAATGAGGTCCCCAAATTAGGACACAAAATTATAATTCCGCAATATGTGTTTAAATACCGCAAACATCCTTTTAATACTCCTTACTGACTTGTTTACCTTTCTTTTTTTGTTTTCTTCTTTTCTTTATTTGTTTATTCCCATCCCCTAAGGTTGGTTCATGCATACCGGCATCATCATCATATCATACCAGATCTAGAGGTCCTCCACCTCCTCGTCCTCCAAGCGATCCTAAAAGCAAAGGAAAAACTAGAATGGATGATACGAGCGGTATCAGGAAAGACAACGCTACGCTCGCAGAGAATGTCGAGACTTCGGATGATCGGAGTACTCCGGCACAGAATGACTTGGTCTTACGGTTGGAACAAAAGACACTGAAGCTACAAGGGGAAGTTGACCAGGTACGGAACTTGGAAAATCTTTCCCTTACCCTGAACGTCCCCGATATTAACCTGACCGAACACAAACGCTCAAAACCTGGCACCTCCCCAGAACACACAAAATTAACAAAATCCTCTCGCACCTCATCAGTATGCCACACCTCCTCGAAATCCTAATCCTTTACCAGTACCGACCCTCCACAACATCATCACCACCCGACTCAGTATTCACAAACCACCACCTACCACAGTCCTCAAAATGCACCACAACTCAACCAATGACCACCACTATGCCCAAATTCCTAGAGTCCATCAAAGCAACCCTATATATGTGGAAAACTTACCCCACACTCCACAACAAACCCTATACATACCTGAATCCGCCAAGAAGGACCTGCTCATCCAGAACATGGCAGAAGAGTTCAAGAAACTTAGTAGTCGAGTCCAAGGTGGTAAAGGCATCGAAGGTTTGAATTATGAAGATTTGTGTATGCAGCCGGAAGTAGAACTACCAGAGGGTTACAAACCTCCTAAGTGCGAAATGTATGACGGGACAGGTGATCCAAAGGTACACTTGAGAACATATTGTGACAATCTCCTAGGGATTGGTAAAGATGAAATAATCCGCATGAAGTTGTTCATGAGGAGCCTCATTGGGGACGAACTATCTTGGTACATGAGTCAAAACCCAAAGAAATGGGTTAACTAGGTGCATCAGATTTAATGGATCGATTCAGGTTCAGTATAGAAAATACGCCAGATGTCTTCTACATTCAGAATCTTAAGAAGAAGCCCACAGAAATTTTTTGCGAATATGCTACTCGATGGAGATCAGAAGCTGCGAAAGTAAGGCCGGCACTGGAAGAACAACATATGAATAAGTTCTTCGTCAGAGCTCAAGATCCACAATACTATGAAAGGCCGATGGTTATTGAAAACCATAAGTTCTCCGATATCATCAAATTGGGAGAAAGAATAGAGGAAAGAATTAAAAGCAGAATGGTGATAAATTTTGAGGCACTACAGGTTACAAACAAAGCCTTGCAGTCGAAGGTATCTCTAAGAAGAAAGAAGTTGGTGCAGTAATGGTAGCCCAAGGTCCGAAGTCTCCCCTTACATACCAAACACCTCCACCCACATATCAACCTTCACCCCTAGATACCAACAACCTGCTGCCACCTACCATACTTATAACACTCAACCTGCATAGTACCACTCACCACCACCAGCCCGCCAAAACTACCAAAAACCCAGACCAAATTTCGACCATAGACCACCAAGACAATACACTCATATTGCTGAACCCATCGATCAGTTGTATGAGAAACTGAAGGCCGCCGGTTATGTCACTCCCATTCTCGCCGTTTCCATGGAAAAATCCTCTCAGTGGGTCAATCTAAGCAAGACATGTGCCTATCACTCGGTCATGAAGGGTCATACTATCGATGAATGTCGCACTTTGAAGGATAAGATCTAGACGGTGATTGACACCAAGGTTATACAAGCAAAAGAGGAAGCACCTAATGTATGCAACAATCCTCTCCCAGATCACAGGGGCGAGGGGGTAAATGTGACCGAAACTGATGAAGAATGGGATCCGGAAGGATCAATTAGACTCATTCATGAAGGGGATCAACCTGAAATACCTCCAGTCACTCTCATGCCTATTATAGTGCAGATTCAATCACCGATTGAGGTTGAAATAGCCACGCCAACTCCGTTTGAGGTTAAAACAACAACGCCCTCAACTGCATCAACCCCATTTGAGGTGGAAGTAACCACACCCTTTACTGTGACGGTAGCACCTAACCTCTCTTTTCACTCCAAAGCTATACCATTGGACTATGCTGTAGAGGAGAGAAGGAAAGGAAAGGGAAAAATGGAAGAAATCGGTGCAACACAAGGTATGACAAGGACTGGTAGGGTTTACGCGCCTGAGCATTTGGGAAGAACAAGTAAAGAAGCAGCTCCCAAGCAACCTATCACTGAAAGCGGCCTAGACGATCTTTGGAGAAAGGTGCAAGCAAGAGAGTGTTCAGTGGTTGATCATCTGAACAAAACTCCTGCTCAGATATCCATTCTATCACTACTATAAAATTCTAAAGCCCATAGGAATGCATTGATGAAAGTGCTGAACGAAGCTTATGTACCCAATAATGCCACTAGTGGATAAATGGCTAATATGGTAGGGCAAGTATTGGAAAGCCACAAGATCACTTTTCACGAAGACGAACTGCCGCCAGAAAGACTAAGTCACAACAGAGCACTGTATATCACGGTACAGTTTGAGGACAAATTCATCGCCAGGGTCCTGATAAATGGGGGTTCGAGTCTCAACATTTGTCCATTGAGTACTTTGAAGAGGTTGGGTAAAGGTTTTCATGAGATACGAGTAGGAACTATGAACGTGAAAGCATTCGATGAGTCCCAAAGGGCCACAATTGTGGAGGTCAACCTATGTTGCAGATGGGCCTGACTTGGTTTGACGTGGAATTTCAAGTATTGGACATATCCGCCACATATAATCTGTTGTTGGGACGACCTTGGATACATGCTGTTGGGGCCGTAGCCTCCACCCTACATCAGGATGTGAAGTTTGAATGGAATAATCAGGAAGTTATAATCCATGGGGACAGGAGTAATCCCATTCATACAAATCAAACTATTCTGGTTGTCGAGAATAGAAGGAAGTTGGGTGGAGAAACATATCATCGCATCAAGCACGTCAATGCAATTGAGAAAGACAAATGGTGGAGTAATAAGATTGAAAGCATATTATCATGGACATGATATGAACCAGGCAAGGGTCTCGACAATAATCTCCAAGGGACCACCAAACCGATATATCTAAAGTATCACGAAACAACTTTTGGGCTTGGGTATGAATACACCTGGCACGAGTATCAGAATTGGTCGTCACCATGACGTGGTCTTTATTACCCTCTTGAACAGCCAATACCGCATATACACCAGACATTTCAACAGACTGACGTGATATGAAGATGCGAAGAAGATGAGGCTTTAGCTGGCCTGAGGAATCTATTTCTGGACGATGAAGACATGGAAGAGGAAGAGGAAGAGGAAGACTTTACAATTCAGACCATGGGAAAAGGAGTTGTTCTCAAGAACTGGACTGCTGCACCGTCCCGGGCCCCTCGAGTTCCTGGGTAGCCTGGCAATTAGCATTATCAATTTTTGAAAGCAATTTTCAGCATCTAAGACATTTTCAGTATTTTGTTTTAGACGTATTTTGTTTTGAAATAATTGCTCGAGTCATCGAGCCGTACCTTTTTTTAATGTTTTCAAGATTTATCTAATGCAATGCTATTTTAGAATTTATTATTATCCTTCACATTTTCTCTCTATAACATTATTACTACTTATCCCGATGAACCAACGACTGGGACATGTAATGAGACAATGCAACATAAGCATAGTGGTTTAGACGAAATAGAAGAAGAAGAAGACATAATACTTGAGGAAATTGTCATAGAAGTGGAAAAGTTTGAGAACAAGCCTAAGTCCATTATGGACGAAACTGAGATGGTCAATTTGGGAGATTCTGAAACGGTCAAAGAAACTCGCATAAGCATTCACCTGTCACCATCAGAGAAGGAGGAGTACACCCGTTTCCTGAAGGAGTATGAAGATATTTTCGCGTGGTCTTATGATGATATGACTGGTTTGAGCACGTCAATAGTGGCTCATAAACTACCTACCAATCCTATGGGTCTGCCTGTAAAGCAGAAGCTCAGAAAGTTCAAACCGGATATGAGTCTGTAAATCAAAGAGGAAGTCACCAAGCAGATAAAAGCTAAGGTTCATAGAGTGGTTGGATATCCTACCTGGTTGGCCAACATCGTGCGAGTTTTGAAGAAGGATGGGAAGGTTAGAGTATGTGTCGACTATCAAGATTTAAACAAATCAAGTCCCAAAGATGATTTTCTGTTACCCAATATACACTTACTGATCGACAACTGTGCCAAGCATGAACTCCATTCCTTTGTGGATTGCTTCGTGGGATATCATCACATCTGGATGGATGAAGAAGATGCCGAGAAGACAACCTTTATCAGTCTGTGGGGGATATATTGTTTTAAAATGATGCCATTTGGCCTGAAAAATGCTGGAGCCACTTATATGAGAGCTATGACGACTATTTTCCATGACATGATTCACAAAGAAATAGAGGTGTACGTGGATGACGTCATCATCGAATCCAGAAGAAGCACAGATCATATAGCAGACTTGAGGAAATTCTATAATCAGTTTCGAAGGTACAATCTAAAAATGAACCCCGAAAAATGTGTCTTTGGATTCCCTGCTGGAAAGTTGTTAGGATTCATAGTCAGCCGCGGATGAATAGAGCTAGACCCGTCAAAGGTCAAAGCTATCCAAGATTTGCCACCTTCGAAGAGCAAGAAAGATGTAATGAGTTTTTTGGGGCGTCTCAATTACATCAGCTGCTTCATAGCACAATCGACTGTGCTCTGTGAGCCAATTTTCAAAATGTTAAAAAAGGATGCCGCAACAAGTTGAACCGAAGACTATCAGAAAGCTTTTGATATAATCAAGGAATATTTGTCCACACCGCCAGTCGTAGTCCCGCCGAAACCTGGCAGACCTCTGTTACTCTGTCTGTCCGTACTCAATGAAGCTTTTGATTGAGTCTTGGGACAACATGACGAGACGGGAAGAAAGAAATAGGCCATATGTTATCTGAGTAAGAAGTTCACACCCTACGAAGCATGGTATTCTCTGCTGGAACGCACTTGCTTCGCTCTGACGTGGATAGCTCAGAATTGAGGCACTGCTTCTGTGCCTATGCCACATATCTCATATCAAGGATGGATCCTCTGAAATACATTTTCCAGAAACCAATGCCTACAGGGAAACTAGCAAAATGGTAGATACTGTTGGGTGAATTTGATATTGTCTATGTGACTCAGAAGGCGGTCAAAGGACAGGCTTTAGTAGATCATCTCGCAGAAAATCTTGTAGGAGGAGAATACGAACCACAGAAAACGTATTTTCCCGATGAAGAAGTAGAATTTGTAGGAGAAGATATCACTAAAACATATGATGGTTGGAGAATGTTCTTTGATGGGCCTGCAAATTTCAAAGGAGCAGATATTGGAACTATTTTGGTGTAGACAGGGCAACATTATCCGGTATCCGTGAAACTCATATTTCCGTGCACCAACAATATGGCAAAATACGAGGCTTGCATCTTGGGGATTAATTTAGCAATTGACATGAATATCTAGGAGTTAGTAGTAATTGGTGACTCTGACCTTCTGGTACAGCAGGTTCTAGGAGAGTGGGCTATAAAGAATACCAAAATATTACCATATCTATATCACATGCAAGAGTTGATGAAGAGGTTCACAAAGATAGAGTTCAAACATGTTCCGAGAATACAGAATGAGTTCGCAGACGCATTAGTCACTTTGTCCTCCATGATACAGCATCCGAACAAGAATTTCATCGACCCTAGTCCGGTAAGAATCCATAATCAGCCAGCTTATTGCGCTCATGTTGAAGAAGAAATGGATGGGTATCCGTGGTTCCATATCAAGGAATACTTGGCAAAAGGAGAATACACGGAACATGCAAATCATACTCAGAAACGCACACTCTGAAGATTATCCAATCAATTCTTCCAAAGTGGAGGAACTCTATACGGAAGGACTCCAGACTTGGGATTATTACGGTGCGTTGACGCCAAGGAAGCTTTCAAACTACTCGAAGAGATACATGCCGGAACTTGTGGACCACATATGAACAGTTTTGTTTTAGCCAAGAAGATATTGAGGGCAGGATATTTTTGGATGAATATAGAAACGGACTATATCAGGTATGTCCAAAAGTGTCACCATTGTCAAATACATGCAGATATGATACGGGTACCACCAAATGAACTCAATGCAACAAGTGCACCTTGGCCTTTTGCCGCTTGGGGAATGGATGTCATTGGTCCGATCGAGCCCGCCGCTTCGAACGGGAACAGGTTCATTCTAGTGGCCATAAACTACTTCACAAAATGGGTTGAGGCTACATCTTACAAGGCTGTAACCAACAAAGTCATTGCAGATTTTGTCAGGAATCGTATTGTTTGCCGATTCAGTGTTCCAGAATCCATCATCACCGACAACGCTGCCAACCTCAACAGCGACTTAATGAGAGCTATGTGTAAAACCTTCAAGATCAAGCATAAGAATTCCACAGCATACAGACCTCAAATGAATAGAGCCATGGAGGCCGCCAACAAGAACATCAAGAAAATTCTAAGGAAATGGTAGACAACCACAAGCAATGGAACGAGAAATTACCATTTGCCTTATTGGGGTATTGTACCATAGTTTGCACATCAATCGGTGCAACTCCCTACATGTTGGCCTACGGTACTGAAGTTGTCATTCCCGCTGAAGTTGAAATTCCTTCTTTGAGAATAATACAAGAAGCAGAACTCAGTGATGCAGAATGGATACAAAGTCGCTATGAACAATTGGCCCTTATTGACGGGAAAGGAATGAATGCGGTATGCCATGGTCAGCTTTATCAAAAAAGAACGTCCAGAGCTTTCCACAAAAGGGTCAGACCCAGACAGTTCGCACCGGGGCAACTGGTGCTGAAGGAAATCTTTCCACATCAGGATGAAGCTAAAGGGAATTTTTCACCTAATTGGCAAGGGCCCTACATGGTCCATAGGGTACAAACAGGAGGAGCACTCATACTTGTAGAAATGGACGAAGAAATTTGGCCAAACCCTATCAATTCATACGCAGTCAACAGATAGTATGTTTAGGATTGTTTATATTTCTTCATTTGATGTAACTGAACTACGCTTGACCCGATTCCCGTTTAAGAGGGGATACATAGGCAGCCCCGTGGTTTTGGTCACATCTTAATAAAATCTTCATTTTCCCCATGGTCAGAAATTGGGGCAGAATTTTGAAGAGGACCCTCAAAATTCTGGAGCAAGTCCAGCCAACTTCGTCATATGCAGAACGGTCG